GATAGTTTCATATCAAACGAACTGTCACAAGTGAGGCAAAAATCAAATTCATGTAGGCTAGTTTTAGTAGTAGGTTAATTTTCGGTTTTAGTGAATATTTATATAAAAATACAAGTTGAAACGCGTTACTTCCTTGTGGAATGTGATGTTAGTATCTATTTTATGTTTGTCTGACGTATTTTTACACTTATTTACCGCACATTTCGTCATTTTTAGCTAAAATTCTTGATCTGTTCGCGGTGCAAATTGACCTTGAGCACTGAAGGCCCGCCCGTTCGTGTAGGCCCATTGGGCGCGCTTCAATTTGCCTCACTTAGCGTGCGCGGACTAGGTTTCTATGCGTTATTATTCTAAGCATATAGATATTTTTTAAATTTACAATTAGTGTTTGTTCGAATTCGGACTCGTGCCTCGGAGTTTCTCGGAATTTATGCGCGATATTTAATTTCAACTTTACCATGAGCTTTTCGGTGAAGGATAACAACCTGGACGTCGAAGGTCAGCGTGACGGACTATGGTCTAAAACCTCGCGGGAGGAGACCCGTGTCCAACAGTGGGAGGTATAAATGGGTTGATTATGATGAGGGGAACAGCCCCATATCTTTCTACATTAGTTTTGATTATAGTGACCCACCCTACCAACCCTTAGCGCCCAGTTTTACGAGAAGTTTTCGCGCGGCTGCCCAGTTGCCACGCCTTCGTGTACATTAATGGCGAATCTGAATCTATTTACCGGGCAACAACATACAAATTCCTCTGAATATTAGGAGTGGTCGCTGCACCGCGGTAAAAACGACTCCGGCCGGCGACCGGAGGAGCGCGGTGAAATTCGTCCGAAATAAATGCGCCCTTAAGGTATACGAGAAGGGGACTATGACCTGTGCGAGCGAACCCGCACAGAGACCATCTAAGTCAAGTCCTAAACAACCAACCAACAACAAATATGAACCCTGCCACACTGAATCCTGCGGTCCGCGCGTTTCTGTGTGGCAGGGTTGATATTAACTCGTGCATTACAAAAATTCCCCCGCCCGGAACGCTTCCGCGGCCGCCTCCGTGTAGCCAGAACCATAAGGCTAGTGCCTTAGGCGAACCGCCCCGGGCGCACGTACAGCATGATGAGGTGAGAGATTAGAAATATGGTTGCTGTGTTTAGGCTTTCTCATGAGAGGGAATACTGCATCCCAAACTAGTGGTACGGAAAAGCCGCCTTCCCTGTTGAAATTAGGACTTTTTTAAAATTTCAATGGCCTCTCGTAGCTTCCTGGGTAGAAAACGGACTTCTTTTGCAAGGACCTCGAGTTTGTCGATCTAAATTGAATGTATGGTTTATTCAATATATGTATGCGCGGACTGTAGACATTTTTCACCATAATAACACAAAAATAAAAGTGACAAACCTGCACAGAGTTGAAGGGAAAAATCACGTTCAGGCAACAAACACTGGTTAGACTCCAGTTCAATTGAAGGAATTTCTCAATCGATTTTTCTATTTTCTTTTTTTTTTAATAGCCTAGAGAAACCCTGTGTCGCGGGTGCCATGGACAGACACATAGACAACCACAAATTACACCCAAAATCACGAGAGAAATAAATGTAGGCTATACAAATATTTCTCCCAGCCCGGGAATCGAACCTGGGACCTCTGCGTGGCATTATGTTCAATAAAAATAAAATATAACCACATTTTTTTTTGTTCAGATCATCACACAGAACACCACGTAGAGCACCCACCCGAAGACTTATCCTACAGTCCGGAAGGCCCACCAAACATCTACAGCGATTACACAGACCATTACAAAAGTGACCACCACCATGACCACTCAGAAAAATACCACCACGATCATGACCACTCCGAAAAGTTTCACGACCACGTTTACCCACAAAAATATGATAACTATCACGAGTACTTCACTGCAACGGCCATTTACAAAAACTCCGATCAGTATTTAAGACAAAGTGATAATGAAATTGAGGACGCTGGTAACTATCAGGGACCTTATGCAAATTATGGTGATAAAAAATCTTTTGAAAGAAAGGTTTAAACGCCAAAAATTCCGATTTCAATCGTCATAATTTTTGGTAGAGTTCAGGATGTAAACCACTTGCATGAATGTTGGTAAATTGACGTCATAAATGTGTAGAGCGTCCTTCATCCGGAGACATGGGGAGAGGCCTCGGCGTACCAAAAATAAAAGGGCATGTATAAAGAGACTGGTGGGAGTGGACGAGGAGAAAGAGGTTTGTCAATAGCATAATAGATAGACAGGCTTGATAATATGTATGTATTAGTGATACAACGGAAGTGTCATAATGGAAACAGATGTGAAAAATAAATATTAGCGGAAACGGAAGCTGAAGTATAAAGATCTGAAATAGAAAACCACCGTGAGACTTAGACTTATTTAATCATGAGGTTCCGCGGCGGTGACTCCACGGAGACTGTCGAGCAAAATTCGACTTAAATATGTGAGTTATTCGGTTTAGTTACTATAAAGATCTCACGAACTTGTGTTTGTTTTGTAATTTATCTTACACAACACAAAACTGTTAAGATCCATGAGCCCCGCTGCCAAGCAATACTCGCACGCGTCTGATCCATCGCGAACGTCATAAACTTCCGATAAAACTTCCATTATAAAAGCTGCGAAAGCAGAAGTGAAAAAGCGTGAGGAACTTCCGCAGTTGCGGAATCAGAAGCAGAAATCTGTTGCATCACTAGTACTTATGTAAAAATAAAAAAATTACCAAATTAACTTTGATAACACATCGGTTGTCCACTTCGCTTAGTTTATGTTGACTTATTATATTTAAGTTATTTTCCTTGTACATTTTGTTAGTCAGTAAAAGGCATTTACTAGATTTTTAAAATATTTATTATAATTGTAATAAAAAATATAAAAGATTGGACGGTTTTCATCTTAACCACTTACATTCTTGTAAACATTGCGGTGTATAATAAAATATATTATCAAATATTATTTTTGAGCTAAAAATCACAATAAAAACGAGATTCATTCAATATACCTAATACTAAAGCTTCACTTTGTGATTTGTGTGTAAAAATATAAATATCACAACACGATAAAAAGAGTCAGCTCCATTACGCTTTATTAGGCGTATGTAAAATTATATACAGAATTCTAAAATTATTTATACATCAAAATATTATAAAATATACATGTATACAACATTGTATGCAAATGGCAGTGATACTTATAGTTTTAAATAATAAAAATTTAAATTACAGATCATTTGGGAGTATACGAATTTCATTATAATTTTTATGATAAAACAAATATTGTATTTTCCGAAAGCGTGCAAATTTGGTTTCCCGCAAAAGAAGGAACTTTTACGTTTAACTTTCAAACTTAACTGACAAATTAGTTTTTCCGCCCCTTGGATTTGTAGTACAGCACAGTAGCGACATCTCTTTAAAATCGTCTAAACTAATTTGTCTGTTTTATCGACTGACAGACTATAGTACTAAAGTTTAGATTATGAGTTAAGGTAAGTCACCGGAGGAGAAGCAGGAAAAACTGCTTTGTTAGATCAAATTGTTTTGGTATTTACTATTAAATACGGATCTTACAAAAAGTATACGATACACCTAAGGATATTGGTTAAAGAATGTGCTAATCTGTTACACGATAGGAACTTACTTCGCACGATCATATAAAATCTTGAAAACAGGCTAAAATAAAAATCTAAAATGAATAATTTAAGAATAAAATATCTAACTTTGCATATAATTTTCATATGGAGTCGTTTCTCTTAAAGTACTACAGAGACTCTGCTAAATTTCAGTTTACAATTGAAGCCCTGTAGTCATCGAGTATATAACCAGAAATAGACACGAAATAAGGGCCATGCATTCCTGGTAACCGTGATACGTCACTTATAAATATCAACTCTCGTTTGCACTGAAATATAGACAGCGCCAACAACTGACCTGTGTCTACGTCTCCGTATATTCCAAAAATATTCTGTATTTTTTGTAATAAAGATAATCACTCTAACAATGGCGTGCTGCTCCAATCGGTGGTGTGAGGAAAAACAGCAAAACATCTAATTACAAAACAAACGGAATCAAATTTCATCGGTAATAAATATTTAATTTTGCAATTTTCGTCCATTATAGCAAAGCTCAAGTTAACTGATCGATTTGAAGTGAAACAATTGATCGATTGTTTCGAAAATTTAGGCTAGCCAATCGGAGCGCAGTTGTCACAGTAATGATGTGGCAGAGTAATTTTCAAACAAACTAAATAACATTTCGTCTCCATTTCTGGTTATAGACTCGATGCCTGTAGTTTTTAAATTCACATTTATGCCAAAGTTTGAAAATTGCCCTGCGGTTTAAAGACGCGCCGCGCCGTCCGCTGCCCCGTCAGTCGCCATCGGGCGCTTGTCGACGTCGGATCTGTGTTAATTTTTTTGGCCTGTTCTAAATTTTGGAGGACGCGAGTGACGGTCTCCCACACCTCATCTTCTCGCGTAGAAATACCTCGTCTCTAGGCTTCAAGTCCCTCTTCCCCCGATGTTCCTCTTATGAACTTACAAAGTTTATTAAATACTATTCCATTTGAAGCAGTTTATTTGAGTTAAATCCATCTTTGTCGTCAAAATAAATACGCGCTAAGTTCGCCTTATATCTCCTCCGAGCGTAAAATCACGTAAAAATAAAACTACAAACATTATATAAGGCCGTTTGGCGAAGATCCTTGATCCATTAAAGTGATTATAAAAAAAAATACTTTTTTTTTCATATTGTGGCCCTAGGAACTTCGAAATTTTGAGCCGATCGTCAAGCAAAATATGTGTAAAACGAGATTGTCAACTATTAAAAATATTTCTTCGTTAGTTCTTAAAACTAAAAGATCATTTGCACTTAACATAGATTGTTGGAATGTACATCAGTCGCCAATACTCCAGAGAGAGCTTAACTTAACTTTCAAATATAAATTACAATTCCCTACACTGCATTGTTAACTGCTGCCAATCTACTCCGTCAAGTGTGAATTGTACATTACTGATACCGCAAAGTTTTTTGAAGAAACAGAAAGATCTATCTATAACGTCGCAAATAGGATTTTATCAATACTTTTTATAATTCGACATCATTCAACTTCCTAAAACATACTCCTAAAAATATACACAAAGTTATTAATATAGAATCACTAACCAAACCTAACACACTGTTTACTAACTTGATTTTATGTCTTCTATTGTTCCTTTTATTTAGATTAATTTTTTTCGGCCATTTTGAAAAATCATTTGGCATTGCTTGACATTGACTTTTATACCATTTCCTGCCAAACCCATTTGACGTTTTTGCTTGAATGCAAATGTCAAAGTTCCCGCCTTTTTGTAATGACATTTTGAGTTCATTATCTATGGCAATGGTTACAGTACGCAGGTTGTACGCAATTGTGTTGGTGTAGTGTAGTTCATTTTTCTCGTCCCGAATGTAAATATAGGTATCGGCGATATCTTGGGTTGTTTTTACGTACCAGGTCACATAAATTGATTGCTGGGAGCTGGAAATAAAGAACAATTTGAAAATAATGGATTTTTTTTATTACCAGGCCTATAATCTACAAACATTGATCTCAACAAATACTAGTGTTGGGTCATGGAAAATTGACACCTGTCAATTTAACTTTTTTTACTACTAAATCGATGCGACCCATTTTGCCTACAGGTAAAAAAATATTTTTGATGGCTCCGTCGTTTTCGTTCAGTAAATTCAACTTTTGACAAAATTATTTGTATTTACAGAATTTTTTTTTGATGTTGTCCAATCATTTTAAATCTCGTAACTTGATTATAGCTACATAATTTTTTTTAATTATTGACTCTAAATAAAACTTCAATAGATATATCTAAACGTAGTACACGAGCCTTCGAATTACATTTCTTCTAATTTTACAGATTTTTTTCCGAAAAAGTTTCCACTGTAAGTATCAATACAAAGATCGAAGATTATTTAGAAAAAATCCTTCGATGTGGCTGGATGCGAACCAGTCTCTTCTAAGAAACCGTGCTAGACGCTATGTTTTTGTTTGTTTTGATTTTTAACGACGTTTTTGCCGTAGGGCCATCTGTGAGAAATTTATTTTTTCATCAGCCAGGTACATTTACAGCTACCAGCAACGACTTGCCTTGGGATCAGAGCAACGCATATGATGTGTAACATTTATTATATAAACATATACGTTGCCCCTTAAATGAATTTATGAAGACAACTGTCAAGAATTCGCTAATTAATAATTTTGTCTATCATTAATTTTCATAGAAAAATATCACAGAGAAAATACTTACAACTGAACGTCTCTAAAAACCAAATCGGGTTCAGACTCAAAATCGAATAAACCGTCATCACTTTTAGTATACGCCTTAATCTTTTCCAACTCAGTGTTGCCATTACACAATAGTCTTTCTTCTTCTACGTTTAGTAGATTTTCATTTTGTAACGATAAAGGTTCAGCGCAGGTGAGATTATGGTACAACGTAGCTGCTTTAAAGGCTGTGGGGGATAGGTGATTTATATAATGTCGCAGAGGGCGTGTGAAACAGTCGCAATGTAAATTGTTCCCTGAAAAAAAAAACAATATAAGTATCTAGTAATAGTTTTTGTATAGGTTAAACAAAACAGCCATTTTGTTTTGGTTTATTGGTTATAGTCAACAACAATAGCATTAAAGAGTATCAGATTTGATTTCATTGCGTCAACAATATTATCCGCGATTGAACCACAAAAAATAACAGGTTACAGAACAACGCTACCGTGGTGTTGCCAGGGCCCCTGAGTCGAAAATTTGTCATCTGAAAAGTTTCATTTTTGTGTGCAAAAGTTACATTTAATAAGTTCGTTTTTGTTTTAATAAAAATTCTAATTGTAAAAGCCAACATTCTAAAAATAAAAAAGTAGGTACGTTCAAGACAAATCAAGCAACCAGTCAATGATTACTTTTTTTACTCATTTGGGTGCGTTCATAAACTATTTGGGATATACAATAACAAACATAGTTGAATTTCCTCAATAGTTACGAAAATTGCCTTGAAAATAAAAATATATACATATTATGCGACAAAATAAAAAGTTGCGAAAAATGTCAGTTGTAAAATAATAACTATAAATTGCATGACAATTAGAATAAGGTGACAGGACTGCCATGTTCTCTAGAACAAAAGTACTAAAATTAAATGAAGAAAAAAAAAATAGGGCGCCACAGGTATACCAACCGTCAAACTCTCAATTTCCCTTTCCGCAATAAAATTCATATTTTAAACATACCTTCAAAATAAAGCTGCAATCCCCGTCCCTTGATCTTTCTCACCAGCTCAGGTTCAATGCTGACCAGCTGGTTATTCCTCACGTCCAGCACTTTGAGTTTGTCAGCACCAGCTAACTTGTCAATTGGTAATTTTTGGAGTTGGTTGTTTTGGAGATAAAGATGTGTTATGTTTGAGGGTAGATTGAATTTTAGATCCGCTGAAATTATTATAGTATATAATTATACAAACTTCAACAAATCGATCGATATTCAAAAAATGCTTTCTTTAACATAGGAGTAGTTTTCGGAATTAAGATTCCATACTACCTCAGCTTGAATTTATATTTTTTCCCGTACTAATAAGGTTCATAATGCTTGGGTCGAGCGGCAAGGACCTGGCCTTATTTCAGAATTTATTTTTTTATATACGCAATTAAAGCCATTTAAAAAATATATATCGTATAGTACACGT